TCGATCCAAGGTTCAAAAGATGGCATCAAGAAAAGGATTTCATAGCTTATGATGTGGTTAGAAATCAAAGAAAAGTCTAAGGCTCAAAAGGGTTTACTAGTGGTTTATGAAAAAAGATAGGTTTCAAAAGCAAGGCTATGAATAGAAAATGATAGTCCTAAGTACCCTTATTTTGATTTCATGCATCAAATTTCATCAAAGGTGTACACATAGACATGTATAGCAAAGCAAGTTCTAGAAAAATCAACTAGTCGAGACATCACACATTCAAGAAAAAGGAGCAAGATATTGAATATATGCTCATAAGCTCAAGTCTCACCAAAAAAGAGGGTCATAACCAAGTGTTAATTCCATATGTCTCCATCACATAATCATCAAGTAATATTCATCATCATGTAGCACCAAGGGCTCAAACATAACAAGTGTACGGACACAAGAAGAAGGATTGTTCTACTGAATTGGCATAGATGAATTAAAAATGACCACAAGAGAAATAACAATCAAGACTCAACAACATTAAACAAACCTAAAAACTCAAAACTGTGACAAATACTCTTGACCACATTTCAAATATTATGAGAGATGATAGGCATAGAGACTCACAAAATTTTATCCGGGTGGCATGCATGAACAACCTTTAATTTACTCAAAAATCTTCCAGATTTGCAGTAAAACTCTCATTATTCCTTAATCTGTAGTAAGTCCAGGTTGCTGTGGAAAAAGTTCCAGGTTTCTAATGACATGGTCATGTCATTTCAAGCCCAACACCATCAGTCCCAATGTTCGAGCAAAAATTCCTGCAACAGAGAACAGAAAAAGTATCAGCAACATGAATAAATTATATTAAGGCGTGGGCACGGCTTAGAAACTATCATTTAATGTGTACGTGGTTCGCCCATGCCTTCAAAAAATATCGTGTCTACCTTAAAATTACTCCAAGCCCTAAACAAAACTAGAAAAATATCAAAACAAAGGTTAACAAAATAAAATAAAAAAAAAACAAAATCTAACATAAAAATAAAAATAAAAATTGGGTTGCCTCCCAAAAAGCGCATTTTTTTAGCGTCGTTGGTTCGACATGAAGCTCTCGATTTATTCAGAATAAATGGGGTCCTCGAGGCCCTCTCTTTCTTCATGCTCAGGTTGGAAGTTCTCGTGATATGGCTTAAGTCGATGTCCGTTGACTATGAAAGACTTCAAGCTCCACGAACTCCGAATCTCAACAGCCCCATGAGTACAGACCCTGGTGACTTCAAAAGGTCCTTCCCATATTGTTCGTAGCTTTCCTGGGAACAATCGAAGACGAGACTGGTACAAGAGAACTTTATGCCCAACTACGAATTGCTTTCTCGAAATCCTCTTATCATGGAAAGCCTTTGTCTTCTCTTTGTAGATCTTGGTGCTCTCATAGGCCTCGTTTCTCATCTCTTCCAGTTCTTGAGTTTGTAGTTTCTTATGCTCGCCGCTTGCACTCATCTCCAGAAGCTTCAGGACCTTAGCTTTCACGACATCCAACACCACCGGATTCAAGCGGCGTTGGGGTTGACGAATAGCTTCAGCTCCCGTTTCCAGTAAAATGAGATGCGTGCAAATCGAGGGGTTTATTCTCTTTATGTCCGAGATAATCCACCCCAACGCTTGCTTGTGTGACTGGAGAACTTTCACGAGCTCGTCTTCTTGAGATTTGGTAAGCTTACTCGAAATAATCACTGGAGGTGTGTTTTTCTTTCCCAAGAATACATACTTGACATGGTCGGCCGACGGCTTCAGTTCCTTGACGGGTGTCTGCAAAATGGAGGGTGGGGATTTTTCATTAGTATCGAAAGAACTAATACCACTAGACT